ATAAAATGCATGTAAAATATTTGCTGTGCATATTGTAAGAGATACTATTCCAATTAAAATTACAACTTATAAAATCAGATTATACAGTGATTCACCATTTATCCAAAAAAATTGGGAAAGGATGCGTCATGAAAAATGTAGTCAATATCTTTAAAAAAATTGTAAAATCCTTATAATTTCCAAGCAAAAATAATCGAAGTTGTAGTATTTATAGCGCTTGCTTCGCTGGGCTACGCAATACCCTCTCTCTCCGTACCAAGGCGATACCGAATACTGAAATCCAATCTTAGTATTTTAACTTTTTGCGATAGTGTTTACATTAATTTTTCAAGTGTTAAAAATGGCTTAGCGACTTGGAGTAGATGGATATCATTTTAATTTATGGTGAAGAAAGACAACAATTGTGATAGTTCGTAGAAGCTGGGCAAGACCAAATGAGTTTACACGTCGGTGGAAAAAGTTTTGAACTGTTGTTGTAATATCAGGTATGTCAAATTATTTTATTAATTAAAACCACAAATTAATTTTATTAATTAATAATAACAATAGCGGCAAACGCAGTTGAATTTGCTGTTATAAAATTTTCTTTCTTTCTTTCGTTGGCAAAGAAATTCTTTCAATTGTTTGTCCGTCATTTTTTATTACACTTTGCGCCGTGCTGGTCGCTGACTGTATGCTTTGCTTTGCNCGACTTATGTATTTTATAGACAATTTTAAATGATTCTTATCTATAAAGTGCATGCGAGAAAAAAATAAAAAAAAACAATTCATTAGATTTTATTCTTTTTTAACTGTTATTTCTATTACATCACTAAATGGTCTTTATAAAATGCATGTAAAATATTTGCTGTGCATATTGTAAGAGATACTATTCCAATTAAAATTACAACTTATAAAATCAGATTATACAGTGATTCACCATTTATCCAAAAAAATTGGGAAAGGATGCGTCATGAAAAATGTAGTCAATATCTTTAAAAAAATTGTAAAATCCTTATAATTTCCAAGCAAAAATAATCGAAGTTGTAGTATTTATAGCGCTTGCTTCGCTGGGCTACGCAATACCCTCTCTCTCCGTACCAAGGCGATACCGAATACTGAAATCCAATCTTAGTATTTTAACTTTTTGCGATAGTGTTTACATTAATTTTTCAAGTGTTAAAAATGGCTTAGCGACTTGGAGTAGATGGATATCATTTTAATTTATGGTGAAGAAAGACAACAATTGTGATAGTTCGTAGAAGCTGGGCAAGACCAAATGAGTTTACACGTCGGTGGAAAAAGTTTTGAACTGTTGTTGTAATATCAGGTATGTCAAATTATTTTATTAATTAAAACCACAAATTAATTTTATTAATTAATAATAACAATAGCGGCAAACGCAGTTGAATTTGCTGTTATAAAATTTTCTTTCTTTCTTTCGTTGGCAAAGAAATTCTTTCAATTGTTTGTCCGTCATTTTTTATTACACTTTGCCGCCATGCCGTTCGCCGACTGTATGTTTTGCCTTGTGCATAGTCAGTTGGACCAGTTTAAATCATTTTCGAACTGCCCTTTTCGAACTTTTTTTACAAAATTGTATTTGTAAGAGTCCCCTCTATATTGAAAAAAATTTTTTTATGAGTTCCGAATCACCCTGCATACATATATGTATTAGTTTTATTTTTCCCTTTTTAAGTTTATTAGATAAGTAGTTATGTGGAATTATTTAATTTTGTTTAATTGGGTACTATTTTATATATTTCACTCCAATGAAGCCAATCTCACCCTGGCTATTGTAAAGAACAAGTGATAATATAATTATTATTATTGTAGTTACATCCACAATATTCCATATCAGATCAAAATATATTTAAACATGTGTTGTGAAATGTTTAAGCTGGTTTATCTGTTGTTTATTGCTACTACGGGAACAATTGTAAGTATATTTATTTGTTATATTTAGGTAGACTACAAAGAAAGTAGTAAGAGTTTACAAACATTAACTCATAGTGATCTAGACACAGCATCCGCTCTCTCTCTCTCTCTCTCTAAAATCATAAGGGTAATACAGATAAAGATTGTAATCTGATCATGATTTTATTAAATAATATAATAAATTAATTTGAATTAATATCGAGAACAAACCGGTTAAAGATACAAAATTTTTGTGATATACGACTTTGATTTAGTTTTTGATATTCAGAATTACATCACACATACGATTAATTTGTCAACATTAATTTATTTCAGTGGAACAATTTTTATATGAAGTTAAAAATATAAAACGGGACGTTTCTATATTATTTGAAAAGAATATCATATATTGCAATATAATAATGAAAAAAATATTTTTTTTTATTTCCATTTGTGAAATTTAACTATTATTTCAAGCTATCGAATTATAATAAACAATTTTCGCAGTTTATAGTGCTGAAAAGACACATTTTGACGATGGATTTGGATTTGTCATTATACAAAGTTCACTTATTACAAAAAAAATTTTTGGCTGGCTAAAGCAAGAAAATTCATGAAAATTTCAGATTCTATCAACTTTGACAAGGTGACTTGAAGGTCAAATCATAAAAATTCGTTACAATGATAACTTTCCCAAAATCTACAATACCTAAGTTTTCACTTGACTCCTGGTTAATTTTTCTACCTCAACTCTAAGTCGAGATATTTGATTTTGACACACCCCCTCTCAAAATAGTACAGGTTGCGCCCTTAGGAAGAGTTCGAGGATATTGGAAGACAATAGATGGCATAACCTATGCTGCTTTTGAGGGAATTCCATTAGATTAGAAGTGAGCGAAAATATCATCTCTGTCTTACATTCATTCTCTCATTATACAGCACAATCTAGAAATCTAGCATACGAGGCCTCTGAAAAAGCTTGTTTTTGCTGTACACTAGCTTTATTTTACTATTTTCTCTGGCTTTGGCTGTGTAGCGGTTCATATAAGTTTAAGACATCAAATTAACAGGTAAAGCTATTTTCTACAGTTTAGAATAGACTTTACCCTATAAATAATCCTTTCTCCTTCATATATTTATTTTTTTAGTATTCCTTCTGTCGATAGGACAGACACATGTCAACCAAAGGGATCTGAAGATCTGTCTTACTTGGTTGTCAATGGACCAGAAGACATGAAGCTGCAAAGGAGCGAAAGCGTAACTCCTATTGTTCGCTTTCCGTATTTTCTTTATTTTATATGCAAAAGGTATGTACTTTTGTTCTGTTTTACAATCAAGCCAATCCTATCCTGGCGATTATAATTAACAAAACAACGAACTAAATAATAATAGTAACGTGATATCAGTACATTGGTTTGTCTATTACTACTTATCCTCCATTTTGTGACCAATTGTAAGTGACTGAACTATTTGTGATAGACAGTTTCTTAAATTGTTTTGAATAAGATGCGCGCATTACAAGAAATTGACACAAAATTATATTTCTAGGCAAAGTACTCAAGTAATATTTGTATATAAAAAAGTCTTGCTAGCGAATGATAACCATTTTTTCAAGGACCAATTTTTTTTTATTCAAGGGGATAAAGATGTTCTTTAAGTGAAATGATACGAGTGTTTTGGAGAGATCCGAAAGGTTTCTACTCGAGATGAGGAATTTTTGTTGTCCGGAAATGCCATATAGTAAAAACACTGACAGATTCTTTTAAGGATTAGATTAGATTAGATTATATCCACTTGTATAATTATTATCTTCCTAATTTATTTCATAACATCGTGAAATTTGTAAACTCCAATGCTAACCAAAATAAGATTTTGTTGGGTAGAGTATTTTTCTATATAGAGTAGTACTAATTTTGGTTATGCTATTTCAAGACTTATACCACTCCATAATTTTTTAAATGAATATTTGATCAGTAGGTACAGTGCCGGCCCTTTGAAAGTGGACGACTCTTATAAGCAAATTGTCTATAATTGGCCTTTGTGAAGCTGACTGGAAAATATGAGGTTCAAATCGGCTGTCATCATTATGTCAAATTTAATGTGTGTCTGTCATATTAGTTCTAGTGAGCAAAACAAATCCAAATTAGGTAGCAAATTATTTATTTTTCCAATACTAAAATATATTATACATTCTAACGACCATTCATTCGCCGTCAACGAGATCTAAAAATGAAACACTTTCCGTCGTCAAAAAAACGCGATTCGTAAAGTTGGTACTTTGTCCAAGCACCATTTTTGTCTATAACACTGCAATCTACATGGCATTGATAAAATTAATGTTCTTGTTAGAATCCTCAGTGATGTTATCCCATGCGTTTTCAATTGCCTCCCAAAGTTCTTCGAAGTTAACTGGACGAAAGTTTCTGTCGTAAATTTTCTTCACCATATATCCCCAGGACTTTGTGAGGGCCAAGGTAAAACATCGATGTTGTTACCAATGAACCATTCTGACGACAATTATCCTGCTTGAAAGTGAAATTCTGAGGATGCAGCATAGTCACAACAAACATTAGGACATTGGCAGCTTATCCAAGCTCGTAGGTTAATGGAGAATCCATCGCTGCGCTGTGTGGGTTTCACATAAGGCTCCGGATACCTTATAGTCTTTGGTGGGTAGACACGGACAGAAGCATCGGAGCAAGACTGAAAACTTTTTTCGTCCGAAAATATAATATTCTCCCAGAAGTTGTCTGGGCTTCCTACAAATTGTCTTGCAAACTCTAACCTCTGTTAATAAAATGAAAAATAAATCGTCCACTTTCAATAGTTCAAAGCTCAGAAATTCAGTGTCATTATTGAAATTCAAGGTATTTTGGTCTAAGTTATTGCCTTTAATTTCTAAATGTCGATCATTCAGCGTTAACATTCCAGGAATCTTTAACATGGAAGATGCCGTTATACCCGGCAACAGTGGCGTGACAGATAAACTCTTAGCACTCGAGTAGGCAAGGACAGCCCATCAGCAGGTGACGCTAGCGTCCACCTCCACTATTGCACTCCGATCACGACAGTTCTACTATCGTGACTCTGATAAACAACATAAGTGGTAGACAGATATATATAGGTCAGATTTTTGTCTAAGGATAGTCCATTTCGAAATGTTGTCTAAATTGGGTTGTCTGCTGCTTGTTCTCTCGTTTGGGAACAGCTGTAAGTAACTACACTTCTTTGCCTAACCTAGATCTTTAACATTTATTAAATTATATATTTTCCTGTATTTATTGTTATACCTATTTTTTAACAATCAAGTATATTTTTAAAATAATAATTATGGGAGTGACTAAAACAAAATTTATTTGCAAAACAGTTCGCTTTACATAAAATTATACAGTGTTCCGTTAACAAGCGCTAAAATTTTAATCGCATATACTGGGCGTTCTGAATGTCTGTCACAGGTGGTTCTAGGGATTAATGTAATGGCAGTAGAGCTTGTCAAATTTTTTTTGTTTTTCTTTTTAAATAACTTATTTAATTCAGGTTCGATTTCTCTCTCATTTGCACACCCACTAAGTAGATAAAGCTCTATTGGACCGGTCAGAAAAAAGTTTCATTATGCACCGTTAGAGGGCATTTTACCTAGAATTCAAAATTTGTTTTATTCATAACTTTTTCCCTTGCTAAATATCACAGAAATTTAAATATTGTTGAAAATAGATACAATATCAGAAAAAAATATGTGCTCTTAGTTCAAGTCGATAACTGTTTAGCATAAAATCGTTATTAAAGTATTATTAAACATACATTCGTTCTATAATTAATCATGTAGTCACGCTTTAACAGTCCTGTAATTACCTGCCGTAAATTACCTTTAGCTGGAAAATTATGCGGAAGTTTTGATATTATTTAATTCTACGTATTGTGAGTTACTCATTTCAAATTTCTCGTTACACCGATCAGTTGTTGGTCTTGATGACTTAAATTTATGATTGTCATTTTGGTATTTATTTCTAGGACACCCTGTAGATAAAGTTGCATTTTCTGCTCCAGAAAGAATACATTCTTTATTCATTTTCATCTCTCGCTGTAAAATTTTCTTTACAAATAAATATTTATTAATTAAATTGTTACAAGTAGCTGTAATATAATCGTAAGTAATTGGTAAATAAAAATTGTTTCGGATGATTAGTCGTTCAAGGATGACAGTAATGGATATTGTTCACATTAAAAAAATGCTAATGGCCCGCTTTTAAGTATGTTGTTATCTTTGTAGTGTAAATTATTATCAGCCAAAAAGACAGTTTAATTTATATATTTAAATTTAACTCGATGCTAGTTTGTTCAAGCGGGGATGATCTGCCAGAGATAGACACGCCTTTGGGCAGAGTTCGGGGATATTGGAAGACAGTAGAAGGCCTAACTTATGCCGCTTTTGAGGGAATCCCGTACGCAAAACCACCTGTGGGCGATATGAGGTTCGAGGTAAGTCAAAATATTTTCATCTTTAAGAACAATATAATACAGAAATTTAAACATTTATGGTAATAAAAAGAATCAGCAAATTTTTAATATTAAATACTTAAATCAGTCGCCAATTTTTTTCTGACGTGATTTTTTTAAGTAGAAGAGATAATTTGAGGCTAAATCTGAGGAATGTGCAGCTTACTTTATCGGTTCTTGATGTCCGTTTGCCAATTGAAATAACAATTTTATTGAAAGGTACAGGGTGATTCACTATATTTTGACACCTCCCTTTAACTTTTTTGTTTTTAGAGTTATAAAAAAATTTTAAATATAAAAGTTGCACGATTTTTTATGAATTAATCGAAAATGATAGTAGAAAAACAAATGAAGTCCAAACAAACTGGCCACGGATGTTAACTTTGTTAAGTTAAATGGAACATCCTGTATACAGGGTGTCCGGTAAGTACCTCCTAATCTCTCGGGAGTGTATAGGGGAGGTCAAAATAAAACTAGTCCTTCCTATAATTTTTTTTCCTAATGTGCCCCCTAACGGAGTTATGGGGGGGTCAAAGGGGTACCTAGAAATTAACTTTTAGGTTATAACTTTGAAACCACCCTGTATATTTTAATAAAATTTTCGTACGTTGTATTACACATGGAGCTCTACGATTTGATGCTAAAATCAACTTTTTGCTATTATCAGGTGTCCAGAAACGGACTGGCCCTATCACAATTTTTCTCAAAATTTTGACAGAAGTAATTTTATCAAACTGAAAATATTATTATTAGATACTCTGAAGGTTTTTCTTTAAAAATGGTACTCTTTATTTATTTCGAAAAAATGAACGGTTTGCGAGATAAATCGGTTTTGAAAAAAATTGGTAACAAATACAACAACAATTAAAATTTATTTTTTTACAATAAAATCATTCCCGCTAGTGCCAGCCTACAGATTCACCATAAACATTTACTGGTGGTGAATTAAGGGAATGAATAATGCCGTTTCTTGTAAAATCAACATCTATGACCAAAATACATCTACAAATTATTATTGCTCTTGTCTCCATGGAGTTCTTTTCTATTGTTTTCGTTGTTAGACCCTGTTGATTTTAAAGTACTTGTCAAAGGCGCGTGACAGAATAAAAATTCAATTTTATTGTGGTATTCGTTTTAAGCCGTTAGAAATAACATTTAAAAATGGAAGAATATTCCTGTGCAGAATATGCTGATATGCACCTAATTTATGGGGAAGCATTATGCAACTCCGTGGAGGCAAGAAGACTTTATGAGGAAAGGTTTCCGGGTCGACATTTGCCGAGTCCAAAAACTTTTGAAAGAGTTGATCGTAGTTTAAGAGAAACAGGTAAAAAAAAATAGTGAAAAACGTTAGTGAAACTAATTTCTTCCGAATCCTTTATTTAGGAAGCTTTTTGCCACGCCGTGGTGGAGCAGGAGCCCCGAGGAGAGTACGAGACCCTCATGTAGAGGAACAAATATTGGAAGACGTTGCTAATAATCCTTCAAATAGCATAAGGAAGCTTGCGGCGCAAAACAATGTTACAAAATGGGCTGTACATGAAACTCTGAAAGAACAATTGCTTTACCCGTACCACATCCAAAAAGTACATGCTATGTCTCCAGATGATTATCCAAAAAGACTTCAATACGCCAATTGGTTTTTACAGCATCATATTCGGAATCATAATTTTGGTACATCTATTTTGTTCACCGATGAAGCAGGTTTTACAAGAGACGGCATAATTAATTCGCATAATCTACATGTCTGGGATGAAGAAAACCCTCACGCTTTAGTTCAAACTCGCTACCAACAAAGGTTTATGGTGAATGTGTGGGCTGGCATTATCGGGAATCATTTGATTGGTCCATTTATTCTGGAGCAAAGACTTAATGGTGCTCTTTATTTGCAATTTTTAGAGGAAAATCTAAATATTTTGTTAGAAGAAGTGCCCCTTCAAATAAGAACTGAAATGTGGTACATGCATGACGGTGCACCACCCCACTTTGATCGTTTAGTACGTCAACATCTGACGAATGTTTTTGGTGATCGATGGATAGGTCGAGGCGGACCTGTATTATGGCCACCTAGGTCGCCCGACCTAAACCCATTAGACTTTTTTCTGTGGGGTCATTTAAAAAATAACGTTTATTCAACACCCGTAAATAGTAGAGAGGAACTTCTGCTGAGGCTAACACAGAACTGTGACCATCTCCGCAATAATCACGGAATATTATTTCAAGTGCACCGGGAAAACATTCGTAGGATTAGAAAGTGCATTGAAGTACGGGGTGCTCATTTTGAACATCTACCGAAGTAACATTTAGGTACCTTTGTTCATTGTTGAATGTTCTTTGTTGCATGTCTTGTAAGTAAGTTATTTTTCAAATGTTATTTTTAATTGGTCACTACTTGCTCATAAAGTATAGCCAACCCGTTCAAAGATTTCTGGACTTGATAAAGTTAAAGAAATTAAATGCATGAAATAATATGTAAAAAAAATAAATTTTAATTGTTGTTGTATTTGTTACCAATTTTTTTCAAAACCGATTTATCTCGCAAACCGTTCATTTTTTCGAAATAAATAAAGAGTACCATTTTTAAAGAAAAACCTTCAGAGTATCTAATAATAATATTTTCAGTTTGATAAAATTACTTCTGTCAAAATTTTGAGAAAAATTGTGATAGGGCCAGTCCGTTTCTGGACACCTGATAATAGCAAAAAGTTGATTTTAGCATCAAATCGTAGAGCTCCATGTGTAATGCAACGTACGAAAATTTTATTAAAATATACAGGGTGGTTTCAAAGTTATAACCCTAAACGTTAATTTCTAGGTGCCCCTTTGACCCCCCCCATAACTCCGTTAGGGGGCACATTAGGAAAACAAATTATAGGAAGGACTAGTTTTATTTTAACCTCCCCTATACACTCCCGAGAGATTAGGAGGTACTTACCGGACACCCTGTATTTTTTCATGTTTGCATACAACATTCCCTGTAGAGCATAGCCATATAGGGTTTGTTGGGTCCATCTCTAACAATAAGCAAGATACTTTTAAAAAACGAAAAAGAGGTTTATTATTAAGAAAATAATACATCTTGTAATAATTGTTAGACCTCTTTCAGGCATTTCTGCCTTTTTTCCAATTATGTAAGTATTTACAGATTTAATTATTATATATTTTTGCCATTTTGTTTGGACTTCATTTGTTTTTCTACTATCATTTTCGAAAAATTCATAAAAACTCGTGCAACTTTTATTTTTCACATTTTTTTATAACTCTTAAAACAAAAAAGTTAAAGCGGGGTCAAAATATAGTGAATCGCCCTGTACATGTTAATTTAAAAAAATATATAATAACGTCTATTCGGTACACTATATTTTTTACAGAACTTAGATACTTCCTTTGGTTACTGAGATTTGAGGAGTTAATTTTTATTTTACGAGATAGTGATAAAGTGTGCAAACATTTCCCCAAATCCCTACTGGATACTCCACTTGTTTGCAGTTATCTTTATTTTTTACTAATTTGCAGGAACCTGAACCCATAGAGGCTTGGTCAGAAACCTTGGAAGCCAACACTCTTCACACGTGCACTCAAGCTGACACTCGTACTCCTGATCAAGTATCTGGTCAGTATAAAGCACTCCGTGCATAATTTGCTAGAATCAAGATTAATATTGCAACTAAGTTGTTTTATTTTTCTTCAGGAGAAGAAGATTGTCTCTACATAAACGTGTACATCCCTGAGGATTCCGTGAAAAACCCAAAGGCACTCGATGTGATAGTGTCAATCCATGGTGGTGCCTTTATGGTAGGTGCTGGACACATAACTTTCAATACATTGCTAGAGTACGACGCTGTGCTTGTATCTTTCAATTACCGTCTCGGTATTCTAGGTAAATGCTTCCTCCAGCCTTTATTATGATTCAAACAAACTTAACGTTCCAGGATTCCTCAGCACGGAAGACGACGTCATACCCGGCAACAACGGCATGAAAGATCAAGTCTTGGCACTCGAGTGGGTCAGGGACAACATCGCTTCGTTCGGGGGAAACCCCGACTCCGTCACCTTAGTCGGCCTATCAGCGGGCGCAGCCAGCGTCCACCTCCACTATTTCTCCCCCCTCTCAGAAGGATTGTTCGTCAAGGGAATTTCGCAGAGTGGTTCGGCTCTAGCATCGTGGGCGATCAAGAAGAACGCCTTGAAACGTGCCAAGAAGCTCGCGCTATTAGTGGATTGCCCTGACAGTCCCTCAGAAGATCTGAAGAGTTGTCTTAAACAGAAACCAGCGCAAACGTTGCTGGAACAATTGGCATATTTCCAAGGAACCGACAACTTGGGGGAACTAGCACCTTTTGCTCCGGTTGTGGAAAATACATCAGCAACTGCTTTCCTAGATACAAATCCTTTCCAGCTCATGATGGAAGGTAAAGTTCATGATGTGCCTTGGATTACTTCCGTTACTACTGGCGAGGGACTGCTTTCTACGGGATGTAAGTAGGATGATACAATAACGGCTTATCCTTTGCCCAACCTGATGATTTAATCACGCAAAATTGCCGAAGATAAATCAAAATAAGTAATTTTCTAGATTTCTGGCAAATCTTGGAAGAGATAGACGAGAGATGGGTAGAACTATTTCCCGATCTGCTGGATTACACTGACACTCTAGATGTATCACAAGTGGAGAGAGTATCGAAGGAAGTTTTGGACTACTATTTGGGACCAGGAGAAAAGATCAATAAGAAGAACTTCAAAAAATTTACGCAGGTACACGTTCCCTATCAGAATAGCAAAACTCATCTTATTTAAATTTGGCGAAATTATTTCCTTACAGATTTTCACAGACAGGTTGTTTGCTGTCCCTGCAGAACTGTCAGCTAAACTGCAAGCCAGTGTAAACAAATCTCCTGTATATGTTTACATATTCAACTACACTGAGGGTGAAAATAAAATGACCATCTTATTTCCTGATGCTCAAGAAATAGAAGGTAAGAAATGACTGTTAATATAAGCAGTTGTTTAGTGGAGATCTGGATGCAATTCAAGGGCAAAGCATCAGGAGCTGGAACCAGATGTCCAGCTGGTAAGGAAGGTCAGAGGAAGAAATTCTTGAAAGTGGAAGCCATCGGCAATGACCTCCAAGAACTTTTTCCTCTGACCTCTGCTAGACATCGTCGTCATGACTACCGGATGTAGCTCCTGATCGTGTGACCTCGAAGTGAGCGCAAATCCCTACTAAACAAGTACCAACGTGTAACCAGATTAAGCGTTAACTAATAAAAATTGCGAGCAAAACAATATCTTCCATCCAATTCTGTCCACAGGTGTGGCCCATGGTGAAGACGGAATCTACTTCTATGGGATGTTGCATATAAATCCGTTATCAGACAAGGACAAACGCTTGATTGCTGCTTGTCATAACGTGTTGTACTCGTACGCCACCAGCGGGTAAATACTACATAAATTAATAATTATTAAATAGCTTATTTCCTTCATTATTATCTTGTCAAACAATTTCGCTAAAGTTTCCGAGATTTCACTATACAGCCTTGGTTGTATTCTAAATTGTGAAAAGTTTTTGTATGATAACGACGTTAAAATCTATATTTCCATCTCTTTGAATACCGTTCTCTAGTTGTTGATTGTTTTATATTGAACTGTGTATTTTTACTCATTTCTTTGCATTAGTGTACGTACTTTATTCCAGATCTTGTACGTTTAGATATTTTAATTTTACATTTTACTCATACCAATTATTTCTGCTAACGTCCTGTAATTGGATTTGTTCCTGTCGGACTAATAATAAATAAATAAAATTTCCATTTTGTAGTATTCCTTCTTTCGATGGGACAGACACTTGGCAACCAACGGGATCTGAAGAGTTGACTTACTTGGTTGTAAATGGACCAGATGACATTAAGCTGCACAAGAGTGAAAGTTTCACTCCTGTTGACTTTTGGACCAAGATCGGACTCTTGGAATATGAAAATGAAGTTGTAAAAGACGACTTATGTATTTCATAGACAATTTTAAATGATTCTTCTGAAATATTCTGTATATTATATTTATAAAGTGTATGCAAGTAAAAAATTTAAAAAAACAATTCATTAAGTTTTATTCTGTTTTAAGTGTTATTTTTATTGTATCACTAAATGTTCTTTATAAAATACATGTAAAATATATGCTGTGCATATTATAAAAGAAAAAAAAATTAAGCCAAAAGTATTCTAATTAAAATTACGACTTATAAAATCAAATTATACAGGGTGATTCACAACTTATCCAAAAAAAAATTGTGAAATTCGTATAGTTTCCGAGAAAAAAAATTATTGAAGTGGTAGCTAGGGTTTCTGATTTCTCGGCCTACTTTTTTTCTCGGGACTCGAGAATTCTCGACTAGGAATTCCCGGGAATTCTCGAATTCTCGAAAAATTTCTAAAACTTAAAAGTCATAATTTTGATATTGTAATGCGAAATATAAACATGCTATTATACTTAACAATCATCATTAACATTTATTATTTATTCAGTATTTTTATTAATTACTTATGTTTCTACTTTCTACAAAACTAAATTAAACTTTGAGTATCTTCTTCTTAAAAACTTTTAACTTATTTTTTTATTAAACACTTTCAATTATTATGTTTATTTCAATGTTTTTGAATCGTAGTTTTCTTCCAATAATTATTAATAATCATTAATCTTTTTCATTAGTCTTTTAATTAAACAAATAGTAAATAAGGAATTTATCCGAAGGACTCGGAGTAGATGGACATTATTTTAATTTATGGTGAAGCAAGACGGCATTTGTGTTATTATGAAGCATTTATGTTATGGTGAAGAAAGGAACAATTGTGTTAATTCGTAGAAACTGGACAAGACCAAATGTGTTAAAATATCAGGTATGTGAAATTATTTTCGATAGTCTTTACAAAGTCCAGAAGCTTCCTTGCTGACACTTCTCTCAGTTCCAAGTAGGGTCCCCCAAGGAGCGCCATTCTGCTACGTGCAAATCCCGGGCACTCGCCCAGGATATGCAGAGAAGTTTCATCCGCCGATTCACATCCTCTGCAGACCGGACTGTCTACAAGCTTTAGCTTATGTAGATATTTCCTAAAGTGGCAGTGACCCGTTATGAGTCCTGTCACTCCCCTGAGCCGGATTCTGTTCAAGCTCAGTAAATCATTCGCTCTTTCCTTTGAAGGATACTCCATGAGCTGCTTAGAATGTCTATGACCTGGCCTTGAAGTCCAGTATTTCCTATGTTCTGTCTCAGTTCATTTGCCCAGAGCCCGCCTGACCACACTGGGAGATGTGCCACAGAAGGGCTCCGGGCCAATGAACTCAGTTTCGGATCCCTTCCTAGCAAGTTCATCCGCTTTCGCATTTCCACAAATGCCTTTATGCCCTGGCACCCAACACAGTCTGACTGTATTGTTGGTGGCCAGTTCAGTAAGCATTTGTAAACAATCCCACACCAGTTTTGAACTTATCTTGTGTGCGCCCAAAGCTTTAACTTGACTATCAGAGAATATATATGAGTTTACGTTTATAACCGCTACGTACATTCTCTGCCAGGCACGCCATTATCGCGCAAATTTCTGCTTGGAATACGGTGGGGAACTCCCCCAGACTGTAGCTTGCACTCCATCTGGGTCAGAGTCCATATATTCCTGCACCCGTCCCTCTGGTCATTTTGGAGCCATCTATAAACCATACGAGGCTCCACCTTTCCAGGGTATTAAACTTTTCCTCCCATTTGCTTTGATCCTCTATTCGAGTCTCAAAAGGCTTGTGGAAGTGAAACCTTGGAACCATCTTGTCAGGTACCATCCCAAAAGTTGGTTCCGACATAGATGTGTCTATAATCCTGGAATAGGAACTACCCCTCCAGTCGTTGTTATTCCAGAAGGTGGTGTATGGGGGTGGTAACGGGGAAATGGCTAGTTAAATTTTTTTAATGGTCGTATTAGGTTTCAGCGACCCCAAAAACGGAGGGGTGGGTGGGGTGGTCTACCTTCTGGGTCTTGACATTTTTTTTTGTGTGCCTGTGTATTGTTTCAGAATATGTCGTTATTAAATCAAAATTATTTAGTGATGACTGATCTACTTATCCAAAGATATAACGGAAATGCCATACATTAAAAACACTAATAAATAGTGTTTTGAGTATTAGATTATATCCACTTGTACACTTGTATAGTAATCTCTCTCACGATATAGTTTTAACTCTTGAAATGCCTTTTTCAAGACGTAATAACGTAAGCTACTGCTCTAAACAAATTAAAATCGCCCGTCGAAGAATTTCGGAATTAAGAAACGATGAAAAATTTAAAAATATGTTTAATTATGCGAAAAATATTACTGGACTACCAAGTTTGACCCTAAAAATTTAAAAATTTTTGCCTACGGGGCTATTTTTTTCTTTCTTGCCCCTAGTAAAAAAGCCACGGCTTTCTCCTATTCACAATGTCACGAGCCGCCACTGTGTCATACCCGGCAATAGTGGCATGATAGATCAAGAATCAAGTCTTGGCACTCGAATAGGCCAAGGACAATATCGCTTGGGGGAAACCCCCAACCCCACCCCATTGCCATAGTTGGCCCATCAGCAGGTGACGCTAGCGTCCACCTCCACTATTTCACTCCGATAACGCCAGTTCTACCCTTGTAACTGTGATAAACAAGATAAGTGGTAGATATATATATGTATATATATCTGTCGGATTTCCGTCTAAGGATAGTCCAGCTCGAAATGTTGTCTAAACTGGGTTGTCTGTTGTTTGTTCTCTCGTTTGGGAACAGCTGTAAGTAACTACACTTATTTGCCTAGCCTAGATCTTTAACATTTATTATATTACTTATATATTTTTCTGTATTTATTTTTATATTTTTTAAAAATCAAGTATATTTTTGTATGATCAGCATGGGAGTGACTAAAACAAAGATAATTTGCAAAACAGTTCGCTTTACATAAAATTATACAGGGTGTTCCGTTAATAAGCGTTAAAATTTTTATCAGAAAATGTATTAAAACGAATGGAGATCATTACGAAACATTTGTCATGATAAAATAGGATTGAAAGTCTGTTATACTTTGTTAGTTAATATCTGTTTTCTATTATTATTATTATGTGCATTATGGTAATTTGTAATACTCTTGTAAAACCAGTTTTAGTAAATAAAATATTATTAGTAATTTCATTATCCTCATCTTATTTTTGTACAATGCTATTACAAAGACGAAAAAAAATATTACAGTAAAAATAAAGCTTATACTTGCTTTAAACAATTTTCGTTACAATTTGTAAACCATAATTACAAATGTCATTTATTTGAAGCACGGCACCTTGATTAATTACAGAATTATCAAAAATTTTATGTTTAGTAAAACTGTAATAACGATTTCCTGCCAAACGGTTATCGGTTTGAATAAAGAGTACATATTTTTTTCTGATGTTGTTTCTCATTTCAACAATTTTAAATTTATGCGACGTTTAGCAAGGGAAAAGTTATGAACAAAATTAATTTTCAGTTCTAGGTAAAGTGCCCTCTAGCGGTGCATAATGAAAGTTTTCTCTGATAGGTCCAATGGAGCTTGATCTACTTAGTGGTGGTATCAATTTAGAGACTAATCGAATTTGATTAGATAAGTTATTTAAAAAGAAAAATAAAAAAAATTGAACATTGAGAAGTTGTAAGCTGCAAACAGTTGACAAATCGAAAAAAAATTTCATTACATACTGCTATTATTTTAATATCTAGAAACACCTCCCGGAGTTTCCTGACTGGCTTTCTGGACACCCTGATTAAAAGCAACAACTTTAGTTTAATAAATTTTTTCTGACTAGCAGATTCTAGAACTACCTAATTAGCTCTTATTTTTCTGCTTCCTTTTGTTCACTATTCTCCACAACTAGATAGATAGATAGATAGATAGATAGATATATTTATTAGTCCAACTAGAGCATTACAGCTTTGCTATGGGATAAGTCAACTCTACATAATACAATATAATTGCATGTCAAAAAAAGGCATATAGCCCGATCCACATTAATTACAGTACAAACAATAAATAAATAAAATAATAAATACAATATAAACATATGATAATATACAACCTACAACAGATTAAAATTAAAATAAGCTAACAGCTATTGTCAAAAAATTCCTGAACGGAGTATGCACAAATTTTTAATAAATATATTTTAACATTTTTTCTAAATAGATGAAAGTTATTTATGTTTTTCAAATGTTGAGGTAAATGGTTAAATAACCTTAGTCCCAAAACATTGTGAGCTTTTAAAGTCATGCCGAGGCGTTTGAAGGGGACACAAAAATTATGTTTGTTACGAGTATCATGACAGTGGACAGATACATTTGTAGTAAAACGTTCTTTATTTTTATAAATATATAACAATATTTCGAAGATATACAAACTTTTCAACGGGAGAATACCAAATTCAGTGAATAAAGGGCGGCATGACTGGTTCGGAGGTACTCCAGCTATACATCTGACAATACGTTTCTGGGCAATGAAAACGCTATCTGCCCTACATGAACTTCCCCAAATAATAATTCCATATGCTAACCTTGATTGAACTTGTGCAAAATAAAAGGAAATTAACTGAGGTATTTCTAAAACATCCTTCAAAATTCTAGTTTGATAACACTTTGAATTTAATATATTGGTAAGTTTATTACAGTGACTCCCAAATGTCAAAGTTTCATCTAAAATGATGCCTAAAAACGAAACAGTATTACTTTTCTCGATACTGATATTATTAAACTTTATATTTAGGGANTGTTGCGATTGCGACGTCCGAAACACGATTTTCCGGCCCCTAAGGGGTCATTTTCCCGGTCCCAAACGGGGAATTTCAGTTGGCCATAAACTTTTCGACCACAAATCCGGCTTTGGCTTTAGAATGCACCTTCGACCTTGCCTCATCCCGGAATCCATCTTTCAGTCCCTATAGAGGCCATTTTTGGCCCCTGGGGCCAATTCCAGACATGGAGGGCCATTTCTGAGCTCGAAATCGGATTCAGCGTCGAAAAATACATGGGAATACATATGTCCGACCCACAAGTCCGAACACTTTT